TGTCTTATCATATAGGTTTATTAATGTTATTAGGTTCAACAAAATGGATTGCCTCAGAGATTTTACTTCTCTATAACGTTTCTATACTCCCTTTGTCTGCACAAATTCCTCCCATTTCCAACTCTCATCGTCTATAAAAGCAACATTCTAACTATTTCTTACAACAACTACCAGGTTCAACAATAAGCAACAATACAAAGGAACACCTCTCTGGTACTTTCATCATGGCAAGACCCTTCGAGAAAATCTCAGACATTAATGACACTAAGGAACTATAGAAGGTGGTTGTTAGGGTACATCATAAATGGTTGGCTGTATCCAACAATAAGCAACACGGAAAAATGATCATCGTAGATGCACTTGTAAGTTGTAAATTTGTTTCATCAATTCCCCTCTATGAGTTGTGATTACACTTTTGATTTGTTTTTTTACTTGCTTTTCTTTTCTTGGTGATTTAATTATGTAGTTAGCTTTTTATTCCTTCGGTTGGTGGTATGTTTGTGGGTTTCCCGTTTATACTTTACATTGCTGGTTAGTTTTTTTTTGTGTCCCATGTATGCAAGACAAAATAGTTTATACATCCATATGCTTGGTGTTTTATTTATGTAGTTAGCCTTCTGTTCCTTTGGTTGGTTATTTGTTTATGGTGTTTCCGTTGTATTCAAGACAACTTAGTTTGTACATGTTTTTTGGATGTTTTCCCATGTATTCAAGACAACTTTACTTCCTTTAACATGGCAATGATATTCATGTTGTTGTGCCACCAACTTTTATGGATCTTTTCGGTGAAAAACTAACGGAATGCCACACATACACCATCTCAAACTTCAAAGTTCATCAGAATGGTCTTGTCTTCAAACCTTCGAAACACGACTACATGGTCAAGTTCACAGGAGGAACTTTCATTAATGAAGTTGACAAGCATGGAATCCCCAAAAGCCTGCCAATTTTACCAGTTTTTCAGATATAATGACTGGATAATTTAGAAAGGACCTGTTGTTAGGTGATGGAAGTTGATTTATATTCGTCTACTATTCTACGTTTCTTATATTTACGAATGATTTATGTCTTAAGAGCGTTGTTTTTTCAGATATAATTGGAATGGTTGATAGACTAGGTTTCTCCCAACCCTAATCTGGTGGGAAAAACATCAATTCAACTTTGTACTCAGAGACATTGGGTAACTTTAGTTCCTACTCTGTACCGACGTTTTCTATATTAACGTTTACTCCATATTTTGTTATCATTCTAAGGCCTTGATTTTGATTATTTACGTTATCACTTATGTAATGGTTCTAATTTAAGGAACAACACCATCAACTGCACTCTGTGGGAGTCATATGCATCCCAATTCATCAAATTCAACCAGGAACGAGTGAACACGGTGGGTCCAATGGTCGTTTTGCTTCAGTATGCAACTGTTAAGGAAGAAGGTTTACCTACTTATATTGTTATTGGTATATATGATTACAATATATTGTAATGATATGTTCTAATATAAACAATATCTTATACACCCTAGGGAAATATCCACTTGCTGTTACAAATACATATAATGTAACCAAAATGTACATCCATGCTGACATGCCTTGTATTAAGGAATTTATAAAAAGGTGCCTTCAGATACTAATTTCATTTCTAATTCCTGTTGACAAAATGTCTAACTCTTAATCTACAACTGATTTTTCAAATGTTCTTGTAGGATACCTTGGTTAATGTTTTTGGACAACTTAGCTCTCAATCTCAAATTTATTCACAAAACTCGAAAAACTCTCAACAAAGCCCTATTCAGAAGTTACTTTCCAAAGCTGTTGTTCTTCCCCTTAATGAAATTATTAAACTCCATGATGTATATTAAAAAACCTCTTGAATTTAACATGTTGTCAAACACTATAATTATTATCAACAATCACATATTCTATCGTTGTACATATTATGGCAAATTATTTTCTGTGCTACGGTAGCAAAGTTCCAAAAACTCATTGCTTCTCCATTTGGCTGGTATTACCAGGCTTGTCATCCGTGCCTCAAGGTAACTCGCGGTGAGAAACCTCCCTTTATGTGTGAGGCTGGTCATTCAACGGAAGTTGAAATATTTTGGTTTGTTCGTGAGACTTATATTATTTCTATTAAATTCATATTTAGTGAATGCCACCCTCTCACACCAAATAACCATGTTATGTTAGGTATAAAATCGAGGTTGAAGTAGTTCATGCTGTAAAATGTTACAAGTTCATTTTATGGGACAAAGAATGTGTTCAACTGTTGGGTTTATCGGCTTCTCAGATACGCGATACCATGGTTAAGGTTTAATTATGAATGACTTTAAACTCTTTTCAATATGGATGTTTTACTTACTACCTCAATCATAATGGTTGGTTTCTAATAATGTCATCTACGTTTCTTAGGTTGAGATTGATGACCCCCTAGAATTCCCATTAGCACTGGATGTTTTGTTGGATTTAGAGACTATTTTTAAGGTGAAGTGGAAACCCCAGTGGGAGAGTTGTTATGTTGTCATGATTATTAGGGAAGAACCTTTCATCAAACAACTTAATGCTCCATGCGAGCAAAGCCAGTTAACTATTTCATATATAGACCTAAATATTTATCCTATAACAACATCAATTGTTGATGATTATATGTCTTTAGTCTTGGTAATAATCCTTATTTTCTCTTGACATGAAGGTTGTAACATCTGAGGCAATTGTAACACCACAACTGTTGCACGTTTGTTGGTGTAATACATTCGTTGAACTTTGGAGTTTTTTATTTTGCGTTAAGATGATTCTCATTATCCTTTACCTGTTGTTCAGATAAAAGAGAGTTTTGATGAAGCCAACTCTGATGGTGCTGATGCAACAAAGATTGTTATGGTATATCCCAAGCTAATGAGATGCTATTTTAATTATCAAGTTATGCTTTTTTGTTTGTTGTAACTTAAAAATATGTTGATTGTTCGCAATTTTCAACTTTTAGGATATGGAGATTACTTCAAAGCATAACCCAGAACCAGTGACTCCTACTGCAAAAAGACCAATATCGAACGGTTCGAGCGAGTCTACTACATTAATTAGCATGTGTGACTGGGAGCTTTTGTCAACGAAACTTAAGAAAATTATCAAATTAGAGAAGAAAAATTAGTTTAACCATGATTTTATTTACTTTTTTATTTCACATGTAATGGTAGACATACCTTCTGGCTCTAAGTTTTTTGTTCCTCTTGTATGATACTACATCAGTTTCGCGAGTACACTATGTTGACATATTATACATGTCAAAACTCAACCTATTTCATATTCTACGTTAATGAATAATTTTTATTAATATATATATATATATATATATATATATATATATATATATATATATATATATATATATATATATATATATATATATATATATATATTATTGTCGTAGCACTTAAATTTATTTTGCTTCACACGTGTATTATTCCTACATAAAAAGTATGTTTACCACATTACGATATCACATGGTCACCGTACCACCTTTGTGTGTGTGTCTCAGTCTACATGGTTTTGTATAAAATATTGCTAAAACATCTATACAGACCCAATAGTTGAATAATTTTAAGGATACATCTAAAAATTTTGTGATGAAACTATTCCTGCTTTAAATATGTAACGAAGCTTAGTAAACAATGTTTGTGTCTCACATTATTGTGATAGGGCCGAATGCCTTTTTTGTCTTTATTTTGTTGTTATGGTGTGTATATATTTCAATAAAATATTAATGATGGTGATTCTTTATGATATTACCAATGTATGATGGTAGGTATTGACACACCCATTTTGTTTGATGTGACATGACAAACTTTTAATATCTACTCAATACTATATATATATATATATATATATATATATATATATATATATATATATATATATATATATATATATATATATATATATATATATATATATATATATATATATATATATATATATATATATATATATATATATATATATATATATATATATATATATATATATATATATATATATATATATAATCTAACAAAAAGGAAGCACACCCCGTTTCTATAGTTGGTATTTCAATCAACAATGTAGATCCAAACGTATTACATTAACAACAACATGTATTACATCAACCTATTGAACATCAGCCAATTCTTTATGAACATCATACCGCACCTCTACCCAACATCATGACAGAATCTTCACAGGTATCAGTTGCTAGAAAGAGGAGGAGGGACATCTTAGAGCTTTGCTATTCCTACACCATTTTGTACATCAAATACTTACACCAAACACTGTTCATCGTATTTATACGGTGAACAGTGTTTATATTTTTTTGATAAATAAAAAATAATATTTATAATACGTGAACAGTGCGTGAACAGTACACTTAAAAATAGTGAAATGAAGTTGGTTAATGCAGTGTAAAAAGTTGGTTAATGAAGTTATGAAGTGGTTAATACGCGTCCAGATATTAAAAGTAATTTTTAACAGTCAATGAAGTTGGTTAATACAATGTATAAGATTGGTTAATAAAGTTATGAAATTGATTAATCACATAATTTTATGTCAATATCATTTAATTTAAAAATAAAAAATAAATTAAAATAATAATTTTTTATTTTTTGTTTAAAAAAAATATTTGGACGCTGTGCTATTCAAATACATTTTGGTCCACAGAAAATATTTTTTATTTTATGTCACTATGGTCCACAAAAAATGGCAAACTTGTTATATTTGTATTGCATCCTGGCCCACATCAGAAATGCAATGCTGCTAGTTTTTGTGTTGTTTTTTTTTAATATATTTGACATACACTATTCATAAGTGTAGGTGTACAAACAAGTGTAAGAATAGCAAAATTCGACATCTTAACACATAAATCATAGTTACGTCACCATCCCAACAAGAAAAATATTTCCTCCAACCAACAACGCGAATTTCCACCACACTTTCAATCTCCTTCTTCTATAACGCGTACTCCACTTTCTAGCAATGTGTATGATTCGCCAAATATTTCCCCATGCACTACACCATCTTAGAGGCATCAGGTGGAAATTTTGTCACGTAAAAAAAAGATTGAATGGACCTCCTGACAATAATTTAGTTATAGCTTTCAATGAAATACTTCACCCTACATCTTCAACAATACCACAATCTGATTCTATTCCTTCAATTCACCCTCACCAGCCAACTGCTAATTTAAATACGGTAGGTCATTCTACGGATGATGAAAATTCTATTTCTGATGACGAAATGAGTCTGGCTAATAGTTCTGATGAAGACGACGACAACATTAATGAACCATTTATTGCCTCACATGATCAACGTAAGTTATACTATTTAGATTACAATTACTAAGTATGGATTATCTAAGTTTCATTTTTCATGCAACTGTCATTGTAGAATATTCTGATATAGGAGATTCTGTATGGGAATGTCCATTTTGTCAAGCCTGTATATGGTATCAAGAACGCAAATGAAAATCCAGGCATACGAATGTTCCCAAATTTCAAACATGCTGCCGAGGTGGAAACATTATCCTTTCATATCTTGAAGGACCACCTCTTCTATTGCAACACCTACTTCACAATGAAACATGTTCTAAGAGTAAGAACTACCAAAACAACTAAGAACCTACAACGTTATGTTTTCCTTCACATCACCCAGAATGAAGTTTGATAACACCCATTGCAAAGATGGAGGACCCCCTACTTTAAGACTACACAGTCAAACCTGTCACCAAATTGGTAGTTTGCTACCAAAAATTGGACATCCTCCATAGTATGCTCAACTATATATATTTGACACTGACAATGAAATTGAGAATAAAATGTATTGTTTCAGGTATTTTTTGTCGGTTAATATTATATATAGCGCAATTTATGTTATTTATTAATTCTTCGGTATAACACTATTTAATAGGGACAATAAACTTATATTATGAGAAATCGTGAACAATTTAAAGATTATGTTAGATGAGTACAACGTCCATGCGAAGGCTTTCAGGATGGCAAGGGATCTTTTGAAAACAAACAGATTCTTAGACTTGAAGTTAAAGCTGATATGTGATATACCAGAGGACAGACGATTGTACAACCGTCCAACTATTTCAGAAGTTGTTGCTTTAATTGTTGGAGACATTAATTCTGCATCCCACAAAGATATAATGATCCAAGCACGGGATGGAAACTTGCAACGAATAGATGAGTTTCACCCGGCCTACCTAGCGTATCTATAATATTTGTCTATGGTGAAGATGGCTATAGAAAAAATATACTTCAGAAATATCAGCATGAAGTTTCGCTCACTAGGAAAAATCGTCAAACTATAAAAGATTGGTTTTCATTCCGATTGCAAACCCGCAACAAAGAAGCAAATACTCTATTGCATTCGAGAAGGCTTTTTCAACAATTTTTGGTGGACGGGTACGCAATGATGGAGTCCGAATGACTTAATTGGTTGAGAAAAAAACAATATAAGTTAAGAGTTAGAAAATACAAACAACCAAATGATCAATGTGGTAGCAGTCTCCAATCCGAACCATAAAAAAAGGGAAAACGTGTTGTGTTGCCGTCATCTTTTGTTGGTAGCAAAAGATTCACAGACCAACTATATTTTTATGGTATGACGATTTCAAGTAAATTGGGTTTCCTTGATTTATTTGTAACAGTTACTTGCATTCTTGCATGGCCTGAAATTACATGTATGCTGTCAACCACTGGGTTAAATCCACATGACAAGCCTGATATCATTACAAAGGCTTTCAAAATTAAACTTGATGAACTCATGGCCAATATAATTAAACATCATGTCCTCGACAAAGTGTTGGCATGTAAGTCTTAATCATTCATTATTATGTTAAAATTTGATATTGTTATATTCATACTCGAGTTTATTTTAAACACCTTATTATTCATGTGTTTTTGTTTCATTTATGTACACAATTGAATTCCAGAAGCGAGGCCTGCCGTATGCTCACATCCTTATTTTCTTACATCCTCAAAGCAAATTCTCAACACCTACTGATCTAGACAAAATCATTTGTGCTAAAATCCCCGACCCTAAACTTCATCCTACATTATATAATTGGTTAAGACCCACATGATGCATGGACCATGTGGTCTCTCCCAACCAACATCACCTTGTATGAAGAATTTAAAATTCTCTAAGTACTTCCCAAAGAAGTACATGGAGGATACAACACTTGATACAGAAGGCTATCCACTTTACAGGAGAAGGTCAAAAGCACACGTCATTCACAAAAACAGCATCGCATTAGACAATCGTTATGTAGTTCCTTATAATACACGATTACTTTTGAACTACCATGCACACATAAACATGGAATGTAGTAACCAGAGTACATCTATCAAATATTTTTTCAAGTACATACACAAAGGATATGACAGAATCACAACAACCATTGTTGCTTCTAAATCACAGAATACAAATGAGCATGACCATGTTGATGAGATTAAACAGTATCTTGATTGTAGGTATGTCTCGCTGAGTGAAGCATGTTGGCAAATATTTGATTACAATATCCATGGTAGGAAACCTGCGGTTGAACGTATGTTCTATCATTTAATAGGTTAGAAAGCGGTTACTACACCGGTTTTGATAGAATGGAGAATATATTAGAAAAGGTGAGTATCACAGAATCTATGTTCACAACATGGTTGGTTGCAAATGGTAAATACGAAGAAGCCCGATCATTGACATATGGCCAATTTGTGTCCAAATTTGTTTATGATAAGAGAAAGAGAACTTGGAAGCCATGAAAACAAGGTTTCACCATTGGTCGCTTGATATGGGTTCCACCTACTATAAGAGAACTACTTTACTTGTGAATGATGTTGACAATGACTAAGGGTCCAACCACTTATGAGGAAATTTTCAAAATAGGCGACACTCAATTTGATACATTTAGGGATGCCTGCTTTGCATTGGGTTTCCTTGAAGACGATCGATAATACATAGTTGTAATAGAAGAGGCTTGTCAATGGGGTTCAGGTCACTTTATTCAAATACTTTTTGTTGTCATGCTTTTGTCCGGTGCTGTAAATCGACCTGTTTATGTTTGGCATAATTCCAGGATTTTATTATCGGATGTTCTGTTGCATGCACAGAGAGAATTGGCAAATAATGCAGGTTCAACAACTATCTTTCATAATATTTAATTTGGATTTAATTTTATCTTATTTTTCAATCTTCCTATTTTTTATTTATTTTCCTGTTACAAATATGAATACCCAGAATGTTTATAACATAATATATTCAAGTTGGATAACTTATTATACTATAACAATTGTTTTATTTCTTCATATATATTAGTGTACATTCTAGCGTAATACCCAATACGTGTTGAAAATAAAATTAAACTTGATTTGGGCCTAAAAATATTATTTGGACTTTTGGGCTTAGTTGTTTTGGACTTAAGTAATTTTAATTAATGTTTCTAGAATACTCTTGTAATGTTTGGAGTGTCTAGATATTTCTTAGGGTTGTAATACTTTCTAGAGTACTCTTGGAATTTCTAGAGTTGAGAACTCTCTAGAATTAGTGTGTCTAGAGTTCTCCTTAGAGTACTATAAATAGAGATGTAATTCTACACTTTTGCATCAAGCAAAATACAAAGTTCTCTCTTCCATAAATAATTCTTCCACCTACCAAGTTTCTCTTTAAGCCTCTAATATTCCCACACATTTTTCCTAAACACAAAAGGTCTTATTTCCAACAAAGTGGCATCAGAGCTTGAAGGTCCTCAAAAGATGGCGAATGGAGGTTTCCCTTTTCAAATTCCGATACTCACAAAGAACAACTATGACAATTGGAGTATCAAGATGAAGGCGCTACTAGGAGCTCAAGATGTGTGGGATATTGTTGAGAAAGGCTTCAAGGAGCAAGATGAAGCCTCCTTAAGCCAAGGTGTAAAGGATACATTAAAGGAGTCAAGAAAGAGAGACAAGAAAGCTCTCTTCCTCATTTATCAATCGGTGGATGAAGATACATTTGAGAAGATCTCCAATGCAACGACGGCGAAAGAAGCATGGGACAAGCTTCAAACTTGCAACAAAGGAGTGGAACAAGTGAAAAAGATTCGTCTTCAAACTCTTAGAGGTGAGTTTGAACGTTTATTTATGGAAGAGTCTGAGTCAATTTCTGATTATTTTTCTCGAGTATTGTCCGTAGTCAATCAACTTAAAAGAAATGGTGAAGATGTTGATGAGGTGAAAGTCATGGAGAAAATACTTCGCACTTTAAATCCAAGTTTTGACTTCATTGTTACCAACATTGAAGAAAATAAGGATTTAAACACCATGACTATTGAGCAACTTATGGGTTCCTTACAAGCATACGAAGAAGAAAAACAAAAGAGAAAAATCAAACAAAAGGAAAATATGGAGCAACTACTACAACTCAATGCAAAAGAAGCAAACTATGCAAATTACAACAGTCAAAGAGGACGAGGTCGTGGCCAAGGTCGTGGACGTGGCCGTGGACGAGGACATGAAGGAGAAAGAAGAGGTAGTTACAACAACTACTCCAACAACTTCAACAATGGAGAAAGAAGTTGGAATCCACAAGCAACAAGAGGTCGTGGAAATGGAAATTCATGGTCAAGATGCAACAAGCTACAAATCAAGTGTTTCAATTGCAACAAAATTGGTCACTATGCATCTGAGTGTAAATTCTCAAAGAAGGTGGTGGAGAGAGCTAATTTTGTAGAAGAAAAAGGTGGAGAAGAAGAAACTTTGCTGCTTGCGTGCCAAAACCAATTTGAAGAGAAAAGAAACAAGTGGTACCTCGACACCGGCGCAAGCAACCACATGTGCGGCGATCGAAGCATGTTCATAGAGATCAATGAAGCGACAACTGGAAATGTCTCATTTGGAGATGACTCAGAGATACCGGTCAAAGGCAAAGGTAAAATTCTCATACGCTTAAAGAATGGGAGTCATGAATTCATATCCAATGTCTACTATGTTCCTAACATGAAAAATAATATTTTGAGCTTGGGAAAATTATTGGAGAAAGGATATGACATCCACTTGAAAGAACATAGTCTTTTCTTAAGAGATTGTGGGCATAACTTGATTGCTAAGGTGCCTATGTCAAAGAATAGAATGTTCCTCTTGAACATTCAAAATGATGTGGCAAAGTGTCTCAAGGCTTGCTATACCGACTCTTCATGGCTATGGCATCTACGATTTGGACACCTCAACTTCGGTAGTCTAGAATGTTTGTCAAAGAAGGAGATGGTGAGAGGCTTGCCTAGTATAAACCACCCAGACCAACTATGTGAAGGATGTCTAATTGGGAAGCAATTCCGGAAAAGCTTTCCAAAGGAATCAACATCAAGAGCGACAAAACCACTAGAGCTCATACACACTGATGTCTGTGGACCAATCAATCCAAACTCTTTTGGTAAGAATAAATATTTTCTCCTCTTTATTGATGATTATTCTAGAAAAACGTGGGTTTATTTCTTGAAGGAGAAGTCAGAAGTGTTTGAAAACTTTAAGAAGTTCAAAGCCCTTGTGGAGAAAGAAAGTGGTCTTTCTATTAAGGCTATGAGATCTGACCGAGGAGGCGAGTTTACTTCAAATGAGTTCAACAAATATTGTGAAGAGCATGGGATCCGCCGCTTACTAACAGTGCCAAGATCGCCACAACAAAATGGAGTAGTGGAGAGAAAGAATCGGACCATACTTAATATGGTGCGAAGCATGCTTAAGAGTAAGAAGATGCCGAAAGAGTTTTGGGCCGAAGCAGTGGCATGTGCGGTTTACTTGACAAACCGTTCCCCAACAAGAAGTGTGCATGAGAAGACACCACAAGAAGCATGAAGTGGAAGGAAGCTAGGGATCTCTCACCTCAAAGTGTTTGGAAGCATTGCATATACCCACGTTCCAGATGAAAGGAGAACAAAGCTCGATGATAAAAGTGAGAAGTATGTATTTGTGGGTTACGACTCAAGCTCCAAAGGATACAAGCTCTATAATCCAAATAGTGGAAAGATTGTCATAAGTCGTGACGTGGAGTTCGAAGAAGAAGATTGTTGGAATTGGAGTATTCAAGAAGACAGGTATGATTTTCTTCCTTATTTTGAAGAAGAAGAAGATGAAATGGAACAACCAATGATAGATGAACATATTACACCACCTGCCTCACCGACACCAATGTTGGATGAAACAATCTCAAGTGAGAGGACACCACGATTAAGGAGCATTGAAG